ACGACCTCAAGTCAAAGGACCAATTTCACTACCGAAGTTAGAGATTAACCACCGACACTCAGATAGTTATCCATGTGGAATCTCTCGACGGGTCTCCAATGTTTTGTTCTATAACAAATATCCACGTGTTCATTTAAGTGTCACCACACTTTAACTTGTGAGATCAGCTACTTACTTCACAAGTAAGAAATGCAAATGTAATTTGTATCTCACAATCACAACTCATTGTGATTAACAAATTACAAATATTTGAATCTACGGACTCTATTATTTATTTAATTGTCTATTAATTAAATAATAGATCTGTCATTTAATTGCATTAATTATATATAAAAGTATTTATGTCCAAAGTTGATTGGACCTAGGGCATAATACTTACATAAAACTCTTATATAAACACTTGGACAGTTGAAATATTATTTTCTATTTATCAACTAAATTTCGTTTAAAATTTTGGGAGGACGCTTCAAGCTTAGTTCGATGTGGTTTGATCACTGTATGATGTTAAAACTTTGCTGCACACTGTCTTCTAAAGTCTTGCTACATAAACATACATACGTAATGCTGTGATGATCCGTTTAACAACTTAGCATTGGACGGTACAATGGATAATGATGTCTTCAGCCTCTCTCCCATTTCTTTTTAATGTTAAATGACTATCGAATTCGAGCTTTGTACCTCTTGAATTTCTACTTCTCTCAAGGGTGTGTTATCTTTTGATCGTAGCTAGTTCACTACTGAACTTGTTTTTGATGATGAATATTATACTTCCTCATCGTGTCAATCTTATTGTAGCAATGATCAAAGTTTCACTATCAAATCATCCAAAATCTGCACACAAGGTGCATTTGACATCAAGCATGGATAAAAAATTATTAAGGCTCAGTTTTTCCTTTGTTTCACCAAACAATTGAATGTCAAGTTAACTAGCTAAATCATTTTTCAACACGAAGAAATACAACCATTGGAACCACAAAGAAAACGAGAAACGTTCACAAAGAAATGGAGGAAAGAGCATAATGAAATTGCATAATGCAGTAGTCTACAAGCGAAGAGAGAGACCTGCAAACAGGTAACAATGAACTTTAGAAATCAATGAAAATTGGCCTACACCGAATGGTTTTGGAGAGGTCACAAGCGACTAAGTAGCCGCTAGAGTTGTAACGTAGCGTCTTGCAAAATGAGATGCCATTTGGCAATATAGGTGTTAATAGGGATGGGGGCAGTGTGGGATCAGGCCAGCCATTTTCATCATCCGCTCGTTGGGTATTTTTTTGTTATTATTTTTTCCCGTGTCTTTAATTGGAGGATATTATTATTATTATTATTATTCAATTTGTAGATCAACTCATGTTTTCTTCAGATGATTCTTACTCCTTGTTTGATTCTCATTCTTTCCAAAATACTTTTTTTCTCTCTTCTTTGCTACCACACATTATTCATTAAAATAATATTACACGTAAATAAAAAGAATTTCGTTATTTTTCAACCACACATTTCCTATCAATCTACTATTCTAAAATGCATTTTTCCTTAAAAATGGGATTTGAACATCCTCTGTGTGATAAAAAATATATATTTTAAACTGAACTTTAAGCGGGAAAGGTAACAAGGTAGGAACCATGTTCTCCGTACCCGTTCCACCCCATCTTGGGGCAATGTGCCCAACCAAGTGTATCTGATTAGGTGGGAAATTTTCGTCTCCTTCGAGGCAGGATCTCGTGGGTATCGGGTTTAACGATTTTTTTATGCCATCCCAAGTGCTAAACAATTATCAAGAAAGATATAATCATGTAAAAACATTTTTCCACCGGTGAGTGCTATTCTCGTAAAATTTTTTATCAAAACAATAATGATGAAGCCCAACTAAAATCCAGTGACCTAAATGGATTTAAGGAAGAGGAAATTACATAAAACCAAGTATTTAAAGTTTCAAATTTAAAATATAGGTGTGAATAATTTAATCAAAAATCAGGTATTAATTGGATATTTTATTAATCAATTAATTCAATTCCAAACTCTAATTCACTCCATTCTCTCTCTACTTTATCCCCATTCTCTCTACCTTCTCTCTATCGGGATTGGCTATGCTAAATTTGACCGGGACAAATTCTAGTGTCGTGACTAGCGTGGGGTGCAGGACGAACTCGATGCCGCGACAAGCGTCGATATGAAAGAAGCTCCGGTGACTCTTCATGAAGCTCGTGTGTGTCAACAACAAGCGAAGAATCGACCATCGACCATCGTGCGTGATGCCCCAGCACCTTACCATCGTAAGCAGCGACGTGCAATTGATTAGAGTTGGTGTGGGGATGGCCCATCATGAAGCTTGTCATCTCTCTCTCTCCCCTCCTTTTTTGCATCTGTTTTTCTAGTTGGTGTGCTGGTGTCGTGGTTTTAAGGATTCTCTGCTATATGGTATGATTGTGGTTAGATGGTTTCTATAGGTATTGTAGCATTGGAAGAAATTGTGGACATTAGCAGATAGTGGTCGTGGTTATGCAGTGGTTATTAGAGTTGCAGGTGGAGGTGGTGAATGGTGTTTGAGCAGGCGGTTGTGGGGGTGGCAACAGTGATGTGTGGTAGTCATGGTGGTGGTGACCGGAAGAAATGGTGGAATTTAGTAGACAGTGTTCGTGTTTGCCAAGGTGAATCGGTGGAAGTGAATCGAGTTGCGTGTTACTGTTGGGTGCGGTCGGAGTGTGCTGTGATCTGTGGTGATGATGTTGAGGTTGTGCTGTTAGATGGTAGAGTGGTTGGATGTGGTGATGGTGGGTGTGTGCGCTGTACGTACGATGGTGTTGGCGGCATGGTGGCGCTGCTAGTGTGCAGTGGTTGGATGCGGCGTGGTGGTGTGCATTGCCTGTGTGGTTGGATGTGATTTTGGTGGGGGTATGTGCTATGGGTGTGATGAGCTGTGTGCTGCCGTGAATTTGATTTTGTGGTGGTTGTAGAGTAGTTTTGATTTTGTGTTTTGCTAATGGTAGTGGTACTGGCTTTGGAGATGAGGTTGCGATGGTGATTGTGTTGCCAATTTGGTGATTGTGGTGCCAATTTTGGACTGTAGTGGTGGTGTGGTGCAAGCAGTGGTTGTGTGGTGGTGTGATTTGTGACCAAGATTGATGATGTATTGGGATTGGTGGTGGGGATGTTTGGTGCATGTGACCAACTATTTGGACTAATTATTAATCCGTGATCTTAAAATTCGATAATCTATGAGTAAAAAAATAATCCGTAACCAATAAATTTGAAAATTTATGATCCATAGATCAACTGTGACCGTAATTTGAATTATCCGTGGCTTCGATAAACTCTGTGACCTACAAATTTATGATTTGTGACCACGAAATAATTTGTGTCTAATTAATTTAATGATATGTGACCAATAAATAATTCTGTGATCTATAATTATGAATTTGTGATCATTAATCGTATAACTATGACTTTATTATATTTATTTAATAAATATTTTTAATTAATTAAATATATACCTGAATTTTTAATTTTCAAACTATCTACATGATTTTTGAATTGGTGTAAATAATATATCTGGATTTTGAATTTTTCCCTCTAAGGAATTAATAGTAGAAGGCCCAGCCCACGCCGTGTGAAAGCCGCGTAGATGCCAAGAATATTCGTTTTATTTTGTAATCAGAATAGCAGATTCCCCTATTGGTAAATGCTAAGAAAAGGAGACGACGGCATCCCTCGTTATTTACGCATAACAATCCCAAATTCCCTCGTTATTCACGTATGATAATCCTAAATTGCCACCAAACACATCCGCATAAGCTCACATTGACTAATATACCCTCGATTTTAAATTTTGATTCACACATTCATTTTCAATCATACATTTATAAAATAAATAATTTTAAAAAATTCACTTCTCAAAACATACTCATGAAACAAGTGCTATGTTTTCTTTAAATTCCTAAATTACGGCCACGTATTGATTGAACTTAATAGTTGTAGTGAGCCACGAATGATTTTAAGTTTTACTTTTTCTATTAGATAAATTCGAATTCAACTAATATGTGTTTGTTAGCTTGTAAATAAATCAATATTATTCAAATAATTAAGTTTTCTCAAGTTTTATCCAATCTTCTACGTTCATATCACTATTATTACAAGCTTGAAAGTTTTCACATGTAATTATATACATTCCTATTAGGTATAAGATCCTCTCAATCCGATTATGACACGACTAGATGAAAAATATTCTCATTCTTAGTGCAGCAATTTAGGATAGGACGAGATGAGATTATTTTACTGTCTCTAATTCAAGTATGCTAAGCTCTTATTTGAGTTCCACTTTTTCAGAATTCATTTTTAATCACTCATATCTTATAAAATAGAGTTACATGTAAACCAAATTTTTTTTCTTACTTTTCGATCACATATTCTTTTAAAATTTCTATTACAAAATATATTTTTCCACAAAATCTCAAGTTAATAGAAATGAGTCTCGTAGAGATATTATCCTTTTAAAAGACAGAGGGTAAAAGGGTCATTATGTGAAAAACTATTTATGAGTGGCGCATATACAATAAAAATTCAAAATTAAACGTTAATCATTTTTTTTTATCGTTAAAATTAAAGGTTAATCTTATCCCAACCATCCCCATTCACGCCTATAAAATCCCAATCACCATTCCTCAGTTTTCCACACTGTCTAATTTCGTTTTCTTTCAACTCTAAAAAAGTTTGAAAAATGGGGTCACGAAACGAAGTCGAGCGGTTGCCAGCACCATATGGTAACCAACATGAAGCTCCGCCGGCGCCAGATGTGGAGGAGAAGAAGAACAAATTTGGTCGGATGGGGACAGGAATGGCTGCCGGCGCGGTAGCAGGGGTGGTAGGTGGAATTGCATCGAACTGGAAAAAAATACAGCAATGGATAAAAGAAAGAAAAGAAAGGAAAAGAAGACGATGAAAAAGATATATGCGAAGAAGACTTGAACACTTAAAATTTGTTGTTCGTATTTGCCTCCTCTGCTTTTAAAGGATTAAAATGGTAAGTAGTTTGTAGTACGTGTCAAGCCAAAGTAATTCTCCAATTGTTGGATGAATAATAGATTGATTATTTATAATTTTCAATTCAGACGTGCCGGACGTCCAGGCGCCTATTTGGCGCCCCCCTATTGGGGGGTCGCCTGTCACTGTCAGACGACCCCCCAATAGGGGGGGGCGCCAAATAGGCCCCAGGACGTCCAGGCCGCTGGACGTCCAGTTTTATTCTTTTCAATTATCCCTACCCAAAGTGGTTACAGCTCAATAAGAAAATGGGACCGAGTTTTTTCCATAGGGGTCTTACCGACCCGTTACTGTAGGGGTCGGTCCCACATGAAAAAAAAAAATACGTTGGACCCGCGATTGTAAGAGATCCGACAAGGTCTGTAAAATAGACACCTGTAAGTGTAGCAGCGTTCAAGAAAATTTGAAATGATTCACCGAGAAAATCACTAGAAAATTCGAAAAAATCCAGCCAATGGCTATATTTTAATATTATGCGACCGCATAGGTTATAGCCATGTGTTCACATAACTATAGCATCGATCGCCTTTTTAGTCACTGAAGGCACTCATG